GTCTGGACCTGAACCTAAATGTGCCAGGTATGCAGCACTAGTTCTTCTTATGCTGCAATTTTAAAAAACAAGACTGGGCACCACAAAAGTGCTCTAGTTGAGCCTACTGCTGAGAAAGGTCAGCCATGTCAGCTTCTGGCTGTAGGGAACATCAGAAATCAATGTGAGGTGTCCACATTGATCACAGGTCCCTGCTAAATCACAGCTAACCGACCTTCTATAATGGAAAAAGACAGGGATGGTGCCAGGCTATATATAGCTGGGAAGATAACATACACGTAAATCCTTCAGCAGTTAGATGAACGGTTCGAGATTGTTGGAAAATGTAGGTGCTCTATGATTGATTCAGGCCAAGTGAGATACGGACACTTTGTGTCATCTGTTGAGCAAAAGCTAAAGGGCAACAAGCAACAAACCAGACCGTCAGGAATGAATCTACAGATGGGTCTAGCGATTTGATTACGTTATGAAGGGAGGCCTCCTCATAAGCATTTTTATGCTTCCGGCCTCCCTGCACTGTTACATTTCATTTATATTTTCTTGTATCTGTATTGTTACATTTTATTTTAAAGTGCGAATAAAAAACTGAAAAAAACTGAAAAAAAAACACTGATTCTCCATGTGGGGAAAAGTTTACAGAAGCAAGTTGGCAATAGAAAAGACTAAATTCACAATAAAAAAAAATGTTCACTCCAAAACTTTAATTTCTGCCTCTCTCCTCAATATTTTCCTCAACCATGAAATGAAATTTTGACATAATTTGAGCTTTTTGCGAGGCAGATACAATCTTCTTCACCAGGGCTCTATCCCCAAATTGGCCAAAATCTTTTTTTTTTACTATGAAATCTCATTCTTCCATATTTGCTGTAGGATTTTTCTTTATAAATGAAACATAATTAGTTTTTGCTGACATTCTACTTATCTTATCTTGCATGGTGTACCCCAAAAGAATTTTGTGCACCCAATTTTTTAGGTTAGGTGCACCAGGGTAGCCTGGGTACCATTTCCCTGGATGCCAAACTAGTATCAGGCCGTTAGCCGTTTTCCTTCGGCAGCCGAGAGCCCTTCGCCCGCCTGCCTAAATTACCGCTACGGGGAGTTGAGCCCGAGGGGAGTTTGCTGGCCCTAGAACCTCCCCCCGGGCTAGACTCCCCCGTAGCGGTAATTTACACCATCCGGATTTTCGCTACGCAACGCTCGAAAAAATAGCGTTGCGTAGCGAAAATCCGGATGGTACCCAGGCTAGCACCAGGGCACCTAGTCCCAAAATTTCTAGCCCTGTTGAACCTTTAAGTCATTTTTTACAAGTTTTGGTTGTCCAACAGTTCCACATCTGTTTGACTCATTTTCACCTTTGTCTGTTAAGAAAATATTGTAAAAGTTTTATCTGCGAAAACCCTCTTCTCAAAGCTGTTTTCCTTCTTTTGAACTTTACAAATGTTCCTTGTGCAGTTAGAAAAACAGATTTTCTCATCCAGGAGACCAAATGAGAAACTGATGGAGGTCGTTAACATTTTAACGAGTCTTGCAGTAAAATTTACCAGAGATGGGAAAAGCTTTTTTTACCTCCGCTACATTTGTTTTCTTTCAATCACTGTTTGATTTAATTTCACTTATTCTCCATGAGACAAAGTTATAGATTCCTGTTTTTAATGGATTTCGTTTCTTGCATTTCCAATAAATTCTAATTTTTAGAAGGTAACAAATGTTGATTTTTGTACTGTAAATTCTTTGGAATCGCATTGTATCAATACTACATACTATTGGTATACTAAGGCATGTCTAATAATTCTACCCGTATTTGTAAACTAATTGTTTGATTAAGTTTTAATTTTTAATTGTTAATGACCTTGTAAAAGGTTAATGCAGAATTTACATGTAAATAATGTACTAACTGTGTATTAATGGGTAAGCTACAAAAATGTATCTCCCGACGGTAGTTGTCTTCTGCAGTTACTGTGGACATCTATCTTTCCTAATGTGGTTATCTGTTCACCAACCCCAAAATGTCATCCAGCTCATTAGGCCACAGCAAGTAAAGTTTATGGATGACATCCTCCGCAGACTCAAAATGTAATGCCAGAGGGCAAAAAAAAACAAGGCGGGCCGAAAAAAACAAGGTTCCTACATTTAGAATTTTGACTCAATCATTGTACAAATGGTTTTGATTCAGTGGGAACATCACATATACACAGCCACCATCACATACAAATTGTATCACTGCATCAAAGTAAGAAACAAAACATTAAATCAGAGCCTTGTCTTGTCTCCTCTCTTCATATTTATCTGCCATCCACGTTCCGGCATGGCAACAGGCATTTTTGCCCATTTTCGGCATGTTGACCACAATCAGAAGGCAACAAAAGTTATTGTATTTTTTCTTCCAAAATCAGGCAAAAATTAATGCGTGCGCTGATGTCATCCATAAAGATTACTTGCTGTGGCCTTACTGTGTTCCACACAAGAAACATTTCAGAAAATGAGCTCATCAGTTAGGAAGATAGTGCTCTGTGTAAAGGAATATTGGAACGTGAGAATTGCGAAGGAAAACTAAAGAACCTACTATAGAAGCTACTACAGTGTACACGAATTACAGTACAGTGTATTCTAGATGCTTTTTGACATTGTAACACCACAAATGACCACAAGGGGCTATCTTATGTTAGTTATCTCTATTTCTTACATCAAAGATATATATTTTGTAATTTTGATCGTATTTTAAAATTTAACAGCTAATGTCTTAAGAGAATGCAAAGAAAGTTGTATCTTCAGATCCATAGCATGAAATGTTACCGTCGCAATCGATCCCTGGAGTAAATTGATGACGCATGTGAAATGTCAAAGGATAGGCTTACCTGCTCTACTGTATAATGGATGATAAACGATGGGAAAAGGCTCCCTACTGTAGTTATTCCACAGTGAATGAGAATAATGGACATATCTAATCTGGTACCAAGGTCAACTGTAAGCCATTTGTACTTGTTATGTCCTGGATTCCATTATGGGCAGAGGGTGAGTGGATATTGAATATACAATCTAGCCCGGAGGCCCTTTCTGTCATTCTGACTCAGATGTTGATGTCTCATAGCCTGGGTACCATCCTACTTGTATAACGGGGCTCCCACACTCGCTTCCCT